ACCGTGTTGGAGGAAGGAGAGAAGTCGTATATGATGAGGAGAAGAGCACTGAGGCTGGATCCAACTGCATCACATCTTGAGCGACTGGTAGCCAATACCAGTTGCAGAACAGCTTTGCACAAAGATCTTCGAGAGTACAGGCATTCGAAACTTTTGGAAGTACCCAGGGGCCTTCTCGGCTATCGCGTTCCGCTAACAACATTACTGAGCAAAGAGGGGACTCGCCATCTTCCCGACAAAAGATGGAACCGATCACGAAGAATTATACCAATCTCTTTCGCTCGTCAACACCCGTGTCAAACCCCGTTATTCCACTGGAGAGATACCTCCACAGATTCTACCTGCTGAAGTAAGCGCCGCAATCCTGATCATGAAAGCAGCCACGGCTTCGGAAGCGGGCCATGTTTCGGTCGCCCTCTTACGAGCTGGAGGACATCGCCTACACGAGATACTTGCGGAACATCTAACGTCCTGCCTTCAAAAGAAAAGAATCCCCGACCAGTGGAAAACCTCCTAAACAATCCTTCTTCATAAGAAGTGCGATGGGAAGGATCTTCGAACTGCCGTCTAATATGCCTGCTGAGCGTGCTTTACAAGCTCTTAACGAAGATTATTCTCGCCCGCATATCAAGGACAGGATGAAGCCCAACCTGTAGAACAAGCTGTATTTTGCCAGGGAATTTTCGTTGATCACATTTAGACAGTTTCGAGGATTTTCGAGGTTTGCCTAGAGTACCGCCTATCTCTCGCCCTGACCGCTAACTATGAGAAAGCGTTTGACAGTGTCGAGACTAATGCTATAGTCAGCCCTCTTCGATCAAGGGGTGGACTCTTACGTGAGGACATTGGGCGACTGCTACAGAAACTGCTAAAGACTTCTACAAAAAGCACGCAAAAAGCAATTTATTGCACTTGTTGGGTTTATGGAAAAGGTTCATTTTTAGAAGTAGTGTAATCAATCAAATTCCGAACAACGTTGAACGCTTTTTCGGGATAGCATTATTTACTTACAACTTTTGAGATATTCGACGCCTCAAGTCGTAGCATAAAAGTTGTAGTACCTAAAAAAATTAATCTTTCTTTTCTCTTCATCAATTTTGTAGCTCTTTAAACACATATTCACTTTCCCCGCGTTTTCGGCCTTTCCCTGATGACGGTGTACGCGAATGTTTTCTAGAGTAAATAGAGAATATTTCAAGAAACTAGAAATATATTTTTTACCGACTTTTTGGACTTATCTTTAGAAGACCGTCCAACAGATTGACTTTCTTTGCGTCCTTCTTGCTCACCCTTCATTTTGACGTAGCCATGCTCCGGTTCCACGGTATCATAGTCGGCTCCTTCTGGTTTCAACTCGTCATACCCTCTACCAAGAGTCATTCCTGCTACTGCTGAAATGCATTGGACCCATGATGGACCGCTATTATGATACTTACCGAATGAGAACAAAACGTCGAATAGAAGTGAACCTTACCATACAAGAGCCATTGTGTAATGATGCATGATAAGGCCAGATTTTGGCAAGGAGGTTCGCCTTTTTTCAACACCTTAACCTCGCGTAGACGAAGATGCATAGACATGAAAGAATGGCGAATCAATGGAAGCGAAACGAGAGACCCAAACAACAATAGCGACACCTCCTACGGGTCCCATCCAACTGACGGTTTTGTAGCGAAAACGCAGTAGAGTTTGTGCCTCCTCGAAAGTGGACGATTGTAGGGACCAAATTGGTACATTCAGCCTAAGTTTAAGGCTAACCACATGTAAGGAGCAGCTCGAAAAGCAAGGAAAACAAAATGATTTCGTTCCGGCTTAAAATGAGTTGGCAGAAGTCATTCAAGGGCAATGTGTTGAGGTTCTCAATGAGGGTACCGGCGTTTGAGTGCAAATGCAGTCGCGAGTAATCTGGAAAAAAGAAGTAATCCGTCTTAAGCTCTATACACAAATGTGCACTGTTGGATTATCAGTAAAGAGGAATTGTTTCACGAACAACCCGCAACAACAGAGTCCACTATAAATCGAATAATGGCAAGATCTTAATATAAGAGAACAAATAATTAACAATAGCTGCGGAACGGTGTAAGCCCTTGAAATCCTTCCCACGCAGCTTGCGAGAAAGCGTTCTCACACATTTTTATTTCATAATACAGCACGCCTGCGTCGTATCAATAGAAAGCAAAAAAACTAGGCTATTCAGGCATCGCGAAACGTCTTTGATCTGCCGATCGGTTCTAAGAAGTGCTGATTGGTAGTTTCGCTTGAAGGCAATGCCCGGATAAATTTCTAACCGCTTTTGAGAGAAGTCTAACAGGACGGTACCGATAAAGAAAGGATACATGGCGTGGCGATATAAAATAGGACGAATTCTGTCAAATGATTTGAAATGTTCCGAATCTGCCTTCTATATTTGCGAAGCATTTGTCTATAACATATGGCTTAAAAGTACTGGATCATGCTTCAAAGTTCGACCTTGACTCGAAACACTAGCGCCAACTGAACATTGACGAAACGTATATATAAAACAAACCTTTGTTTGTTATTTCAGGTTGAACTTGAATTGTAGAGAAATTATTGACCAGTTTATCTTACTTACTTACTTAGATACTTAGATGGCCTGTCTTCACTTGTCGTGCAGGTCACTGTTTCCATATTGGTATTGAAGTGCGGCGGAAACGAAACGTTCGCGAAGTCCAGGTCCATTACTCGTTACCAGCTGGGAATTCAGCTGGATCATCCGTGCAACGAACAGTCAGCCCATCTGGTCGGTGGCCTACCTCGAAGACGTTTTACTTCGCGAGGGATCCATTCCAGAGTTCTTAGTGTCCATCTGTCGTATGTCCTTCTCATTAT